TTGGTCGGGGGTTTTAGGGTATAGCGTTCAGGGCATCGGGGTTCAGCATTCAGGTTCCAGGGCGAGGGTGCGTGCGCAGCTTGTGAGTGCCCAGGAGTGTATACGTATGTCAATCTCTCGCAAATGCACACGGTTCTGAAATACATGAGATAGATAAACAAGTATATATGCATATGTGTATATCAACAGGGTACATTGCTGTCCGAGACTTTGTCTATCAAGCTCGTTTCTACTCTTCTCACTTTAGGTCTATTGTACATATTGTGGCAATCATTGTTACGACTCTCAGATACCGCTTCAACCAGACTTCCCTGCCGGCTGCATTGAGCACCTTCGAGAGGCAAAATCATACCTTCATTGCCTTAGGTTCGCCTAATTTTACAGAGGACAATTCAAGACTCCGGCAGCGAGGGTAAGCGCAGAAGCAGACTGTTAATAGCGATGGTACAATAGCATCGTTTCCTGCACGTGTGTTGCAGCTGCACCTTCTTACTCCGACCATCGCCACACAATACTAACGACATTAGCGAGCGATGATGACTACTCTACGACAACTCCGACCACTACGACGACTGCTACAAACTATGACTCTACTGGCACTGCGACCACCAATATTACTAGTCGATACAACAATGCTGATGTTCTTGCCCCTGCTCCTCACCGGCAGTCCGTAGCTTTGCAACTCCCGAGTTCCCAGTTTAATTTTGTCCACTGACCAGACAGCCCGATCCCTACACCGCCCTGTCTTTTGAACGAATGAACAAAGATCTTTATCTAAACATTGACTAAATCCTTCACCATCATCGTACACATCTTCTGGTTCATGGTCTTTCATGTCCCACGGCTCTGGAAGCCATAATGAGGGAGGGAGGGGCAGTTCAAAGCTGTCGGCACTTGTGTGCGGAAAACGGAAGCAGCACCGTACATTTCCCTCCCTGCTGCCTCTCATGTGTGCCAAGGGGCTCTTCAGCATCCCTGCTTTTCATAAACTCTGCATCCCCTTCAGCATAACAGCCCGAGAAGTCGCAAAGCCGGCCGAGCGTCGTGTTTTGGCGCCCAGCCAAAATGTTGAGCAGAGTCGTCTTCCCGCTGCCCGACGGACCAAAAACGCCTGCTACAAGGTGTGAACGCAAAACTGTCGTCTAGGGTGTAGAAGCATGCTTTAGGGTTCAGAGTGTGCAGTTTACGATCTCGGGTGTAGAGTTTAGGGGGTTGGGGGCACAGTGTTTGGACTTATGAAGAAAATATGATGACGAGGTGCGCAGGACTCCTTATGCCTTCTGTCCGCACGCCCAAACCCAGCATGAGGAAAAAAGCCATGAAGAACACCAGCATCTAAAGCCGCAAACCTCAAGCCCTAAACGCCAGAAGCCGAAGCTCGTACATTTCGTGCGCCCTACACATGACACCAACCACTCCATAAACTTAGCTCTGCCTTTAGAAGGTGATTGTCTGAACCTGTCCCAGATGTTGCCGGTGCCTGTGAGCTTGCCCGGCTGGATCATTCCTTGCGTGATGTTGCAGGATCAGGGCTGGGGCGGCCTAAACTAAAGTCTTTGGTTGCTTATTTCAACCGACCAGAAGCCCCTGCCATGCTAGACACTTACTCATGATGTTCAAGACAAGCTCACGCGTCAGGTGCCACGAAACACTTCTGCAGTCCTGTGATGTTGGAGAGGATCTTGTGACTGCCTGTGCAGGGCCGCGAAAGCTTTGAGTGATATCAACTCGTAGCCCAGGTCTTTGAATTCGCCGGAGAATTTGACAGTGACCGGAGCCATCACTGCAACTACTAGTAGTAGTGTACTTCGTCTTGCCCATACTGCTGCCACTAGCAAGCCGGGTAAACCAAAAATATCCAGCAAGCAAACGCAATCGTAGTGGCCCTGGTAATGGCAATCGTACCGCTATGCATAGACTTGAAAAAGGCTGAAGCTGCAGCAATAAGCAACAAAATGTATCATATGTGCGACACAAGCCGGCCTATGGTGAAGGTCAAGTCGGTCCACTCCATGGAAATCTCCTTCCGCCGGGGTCTTAAAGGATACGTTTATTGTACTGCAACTCCGCTGTTTCTGATACAAGGGCATCGATAGTCAGAAAAAAAATGAATTCGGAGGGGGTTTGGTCTCCTCCACATTGGCTTCCTGCGAGAGCTGCCGCGAACACTCCCGGACCTCGTACCAGGAAGCGGACTTTGCAGAAATTTCGGAACCCTAGCACGCTTCAGGATTCTTGGGGCTAGGTTTCTACTGTTTGCCGATTCAGGGCTCTGTGGCCTACCCTACACCCTAAATCCTAAAATCCTAAACCCTAAAACCCTAAAACCCTAAACCCTAAAACCCTAAAACCCTAAAACCCTAAACCCTAAAACCCTAAAACCCTAAACCATAAAACCCTAAAGCCCTCAAACCCTGAACCCTACCTCTTGCCGGGTTTCCCCGTTAGGTGTGGGGACGGCGCAGCCCTGGAGATCCATCAGTCCAAAAGCCCTGCAGCACCGAACCCCCGAGAGACTCCAACATACCCCTTAATTCAGGAATATACCTTAAACCATCGTAGGGTTCCTTAATTAATGAATATATATATATATACCTTGAATCATGTTAGGGGTTCCTACTATAGTTTAAGTTCTATGGCCCCTCATGAACCCATGCATGCCCTGTAGACCCCAGAGCCCCCAGAGCCCAAAGGCCGCCAGGGCACTTGCCGCATCAGCCCAGAACCTCAAGCTCTGTAGGGCTGGCGGTTTTCGAGGGGTTTACCTAACCCCTCCAGGTACCTACTATATGAGGTACTAGAGCCCCAAGGGCCCTGTATAGCAGGTACCTGGAAGGTTAGGGTTAGGACACAAGGCTTGCGGTTTAGGTTTGTAAGGTCTGTACGTTGTGCAGTGTGAATTGTGGGGTTGGGGTTCCCGGTTCAGGGCATGCGTTTTGCGGTTGGGAGTTGGCTAACGCGCTTGAAAGCTTGCTTCTGGTTTCAGGGTCAAGGCTTTGAGAATTTAGGTTCTGGGGTACAGTGCTTGATGTAGGATTCAGCTTGTTGGGTTCTAAATGCGCTGGGTTCGAAGCTTGATAGGTGGGGGCTGGATAATTTTGGGATGTTAGAGTTGAGGGCTTTAGGGTGTCGTTTGGCAGGTTCGAGATTTCGATAGCAGAAAAGAAGCAAGCATGCTGCTTTCATTGATGCTTGCGGTGTGTAGAGTTTGCACGGGTTGTGACGTGCAGAGTTGCATGGTATAGGCTCAACTTACCATGTGTTTTAAGTTGGCGGTGCTGCAAGACTACGCGGGACTCAGCCCTTGTAAGCGCTAAACATCCAAAACACCGCCTTCAAACCTCTGAACCTAGACCCCGAAACACCCTGCCAAAGCCCAAAGCTCTTGCTTTCCGAAGCGCTGGGCCCTCGCTCATCTGGGAAGGTCGGCGTGTCGTCGGTGTCATCCACAGCATCGCGCCTTCGGAGCTCTGGGATTGTCGAAAGGTTGAGGGTGTGTAGCTTTCGGGCCTTGAGGGGTTGGGGTGCAGGGTCAAGATGACATTACACTAGTAGTAATGTATCCTTCAGGTCAGGTACGTACCCCTGCATCTAAGGAATCCCGATGCTCATTGTGACGACAGCTTGAACTCAGCCCGGGCGCAGCCGCACAGAGAGATCCTCGGGCGTCGGCTTCATGGCTTCCAGACGGCTCGGGCACCCCACGTTGCAACGGAGAGATGAAATGACGGAGGACCTCAATAGCCCAGGATTATGCTTGCGACGGCTACTGTAATGGCTACCACGAATCTTTCTAACAAATGCATTTCTTGCACCTGCAGCTTTCCTTCGCCGTGGGGTGGGGCGGGATTGTGGAACCCAAGGATGGAAGCATGCTCCATGTGGGGGGGTGTCCTGGAGCCAGCATGCCAGTTGGAGATTACTGGGTCTAGACCCTAAACCCTAAACTCTAGACCCTAAACCCTAAACGGCCTAGGCATGAAGGAGGCAGGTCCTTTTTGGGCCAGCCAGGCTTCCTCCCTGCAGGGATTTTATGTACATCTGTGGAGCGGTGAGCTCGTGCAGCAGTCACGGGCTTTGCATTCTCTGCCCTGAAAACAAGTGGCGGGTATTTCGACTTCGGGTGTGTTTTGGGCGCTAGCTAGTTATAGTTCCTTGGTTGGTTGGTTGGCTGGTTGGTTGGTTGGTTCACCAATATGGTCACATGCCAACTATAGCAGTTAATGAAGCTCCGGGCAGAGCCTGCAAGGAAACCCGGCCGCGCACCGAAGAAACGACCACAGCTCCTGCGCCGGTGTTCGGCCTCCCGCTGCCCCGTGAAGCTCTCGGACTTGACTTGCGGTGCACGCACCCCTAGAAGCCAGCTTACCTTTACAATGGGTTACGATACTACGCAGGGACAGGATCCTACGGCATAGGCAACTGGGCTTCGCTGGGGTAGCTTCGTCTGGGTGAGATGTTAATGACGATTGATGATGGCTGGTGCTACTGCGCTTGCTACTGTTGCTATACCACGGCGAACCAGTGAATCGACCCCAACACTGGTTTTCACTGGTGCTGTCGTGGGAAGCAGCTCTTCGGATGCCAACATCAACTGGACACGGGTGCGAGCCGAACAGTGAAGCGGCCACTGGCACATGACGGCAAAGCAGCGTTTTGCGTTGCCCATGCCGTCATGGAGGTCATTAACAGTGCAGCCTTCCTTGGCACACAAGGTATCAGTCTTCTGCCTATCCAAAGATGACAACTGTGATGCAGAAAAACAACTGGGGTCTTCTCAGGTTATCAGCACATTGATTTCGAATGCTGGCCGCTGGTTCGGGGAGTCTTCTGAGCCTGATGCAAAGGACTACCCCACCAGCAGCCCCCAGATGGAGATGTGCGCCGTTTTGGGGGTGCATTTGTGTCCCAAACTTCATTCACCAGACAAGTGCTATGCTATACTCAACCCCTCAACTCCGAAGGCTCAGAACACCAACAGTCGCTTCAGAGGGCCCCCATCACGGCACTGTCACCGTCAAAGAGGCAGAGGGTCCTCGGCTGCACACTTCCAGGTTCATGGGGTAGGGGGTAAGGCACACTTATGATGGGTTGAAAACAAACGGCGCCCTGTAAAGCAACTCAAAAAACCTGGGCTGCGAACACCGCGCGTGCTTACAGCATACGGTCCCTACGCTAGTCATTTGTGGCTCTTTTCCGAAGGCTCATCTTCCCAGCCCCAACCCCAAGTGAAACGCTGAGCTGAATCCCAGAAGCCCCCTGAAAGTCCATGTAATCCTTGCGACCCGAGGTGGGTAGACACCAAACCCCCCTGACATGAAACCCTAACCCCTGAAAGCCGAGGCCCCAAAGCCGCCAGCGCTCATCGCCCCAATGATACTGCATGTATCAAACCCAGCCTCCTTTTCCTAAAAACCTCTGCTTTTCGAAGCCTATATTCTATCAACACCACCCTAAACCCGAATCTCTAGAAGCCCAGTAAACCCGAAAAGCCCGAAAAGCCCCCAAAAGTCTATAATCCCCCCAACAAACCCCAGATGCCTTCTAACCGCTGTTAGAGCGGCCGGTGCCCACCGCATTGGCCGCCCGGACCTCGCAGGCGGCCGAGCCCGATGAGGCTTGGAGCTCGTGGCTCAGATCCTGGGAGTCCAAGGAAAATTATTCCGAAGCTTTCTACTACAACGAAAAATGAATTGTGGAGTCCAAGGAAAATTTATAGAGCTAAAAGAATCTATAGGATTGAGGGAATATATGATATAGTAAGTACCAAAATTCTGAAGCTTTACTGACTTCCCCAAGAAGCCAGGAAAATAAAAGGTTAAGCTTTCAGATCACTACGAAGTTATAAGAACCCAAAAAGTTTAAAGGCTGGGTATTGGAGAACTTAGTTTAATGATAGCAGAAATCGATAACAGAATAGGATATGGTAAGTACTACTGCATCATAATGAATTGTGGTATGATATGATCTGATGCGCCATGATATGCCAAAATGTAACAGGAGCAGGAGCTCGCGGCGTATGTTTTTGAGGGATTTCTCAAGGCTGTTTGTAAAGGTTTTCTAGGGCAGTCTAGGGTTTACGGAGTTCTTATTACGCTTTGTAGGGTCGCTTAGTATAAGTCCTACTGTTCAGGAGTTCATGGCTTTGGTGCTTTAATTTAAGTTTAGGAACTTTGGCGGATACAAGTTTCGGCTCAGTGTTCGAGATTATGGGGTTTTTGGGTGACGAGTGCTACAAGTACCTTTCCGGAAAAACAACTTGATGACGTGGTTCTGGTTATCGTCAGAGCGATTGTTTCATGGCCTATTCAATACTGGCGTTGCTTCACGGTTGTTACAAACGGCCCTAGCTGCAGTAGTGACCTGACCCTGTTGTGTAACGACACCCACAGCCCTGTTAACACGTTTTAAGCTTCTGATTCCGAACTGAACCCTAAAACGAAACGCAGGGAATGTGGCATAAACGCCATCATTCCACATAACGTCTTACGAGACCCTACAGTTAAACCATCAACTGCAATAAGACTCGAAAACTCTAATTCACTGGCTCAGGAGCCTAAATCGAGAACAAGGCTGGAACGCTAAATACCCCTGCTTTGCACTGCTAAAAGCCCTGCCCTTTTGCGGGCCCAAGCGGCGGTGTTCAGGACCTTCTCCCAGGGATCGCTGTTGCAGCGGGCCTGCAGTTGTGGGGTGTAGGTGCACGGTTTGGCCTTTGCAGAGTTTGGGGCTTCGTTGACCAGTATGTTGGAGTTCGGCAGTTTGGGGCTGCTGTGACCATATGGACTGGTGCTTCGGGGTATTCAGTGTTGTTCTTAGCACGGATACGATATCTTGACAAGCCCTAAGGCCTGTGCCCTCAACCCTAACTTTCAATAGGCTCGGGCTCAGAGATTCGGCTGCGATTCGCAACCTTACAAAAACCTTACAAAACTTCTAGGGCCTAGAAGGAACCCTGTAAACATGGTTGGAATCGGGCGGTTCAGTCGATACCGATACGCATGCGGTGTTTGGCGGTATATGTATTACCGGTATTGCGGAGTTTCGGTTCGGGTCGGTAGCGATAATTACGCCATACCGAATACTCAACACACCAGCCATACCACACCAGCCGCCAACCCCACCCACCTAACTCGCCAAACCCCTAGCAATCTCAGGAATCGCTGCCTCGTAATGTGTGATGGGCACGAAGCCGTCCAAGCTGGGTATCTGCCAGCTCAAGACCTGCGAGGACCCAGGCCGAAAGCTGAGGCGCATAACAAGGGAAAGGGACCCAGAACCTCGTACTTCGACGAACTGAGGCGGAATGCTGTGATGCAAGGTTTTATAACTTTATGATGCTACATGATGGGTTTGGCTAAGTAAGCCTTAAAGGTTTATGAGGCATTTGTAAGAGTGAGTCGTACACGGCTTGACCGAACGGTTGTCCATGAGTTTCGTAAGGCTTCATAACGGCTCTTCTCAAGAGCAAAGCAACGGCGTGTGGTAGTTTCCGACCTCTGCCTCTGCCCTGAAGGCCGTCTCCCAAACTGCAAAAAAGCGAAACAACCAAACAAAAACGTCTAACAGCCCGGTTCAAGCGCATACAGGACTCGATAGCTGCACTACGGCACGACGGTATAAATATATCTGTGCAATCCATTTAAGAGCCCTCTGGCGAGCGGCCACGGTGTCGTTCGCCACGCCGCTGAGATCGAGGGGCGCGCCGGGAAGCTGCCCGGTGCTCAGATGCAGCTCCTGTCGCGCTTTGCGTCTTCTCAGCGTTCTGTACGGGTTCTCTGGGGCTTCGTGCGGTTTTTCAAGAGTAACAAGGCTGTATAGGGCGACACAAGCAGTTTGAAGTACAAGGCACCAAGCGCCTTCCTTTGAGGTTGAAGTTTCAGGCTCCTGGGCTGCAAGCGGCACGGGGTCTAGCAGTGGCAAACGCATGCGGGCTTATGCTTAACACCTTCCGAGCACTCCCGGCTCGAAGCTTCGAGGATGGATGAAGACCTCTGGGTGCGGAACACGATTGCAAATCGAATGCTACAGTTCAAGGAAACTACAGGTGGGGAGTTTAGGGTATATAGGGCTCCTATAACGCTTCTATTGGGTATATAGACCTTCTATAAGGAACCCAACGGCCCAAAGACAAGCCTTGTTCTGAAACAGACATGTCTCCCCAAAAACACAACCTTGCCATATTCGTCCCATATCCCAGGCATGCACAGCAGGTCCGTGGTGAAGTCCCCATAGAAGCCGTTGTGATTCTTCCTGGCAGCTCTGAAATCCTAAACTGTCAACCGAATTGCCCCCCCTGCTCGACGACGTCAGGCAGGCTGTCGCCCAGAGCGCTTGGAGAGTTTACGGCCCGGCTCTTGGCGTGCTTCAACACATTTCGGGATACTCGGGCAAAGATAAGAAGCGGCCTAGGGAACCGCAACATCGGCTCGATTCGAGGCCTGATGAAACATAGCACTTCTGCTGGGACTTATTCAAGCTGCTACAGACAACCCCGAACCCCTTCTACACGTCTCTTTGTAAAGCCCAGCAGCCCCGCAACAACTCCAGGTACACACGCACGCAAACTGTCGAGCTCGTTTTAAATCACCTCTTCAACGCCTTTCTTCTCTCCTTGATTCTCAGCCCAGGTTGCCGAACATGGAAATCTAAGAGTCCCGTACGTTGAGTGCTTCATGACAGGCTTATCAGGACTTCTGGAGCATAAGATGTTCAACTTGAAGAGATGCTTTGTTAAAAGGCTTTCCTAGCCTTCCAAAGGCTAGCTCTCGCAGCTTCGACTACGGCTCTCCTCCGTCACCGCAAAGGATATGCAGGCTGGGATCTTATGGGGCTTGGGGCTCCTTACCCTTTGAGGGTTGAGAAATTTAGACTTCGGCCGAGCCACAGTCGCAGCTTGAAAGCCCAGTAGGAGTTCACAGGCGTGCGCGGGAAGGTGTCCTCAGCGAGATCACATACACCAGCTTGAATTTAATACCGTAACTCCTACACCCATACCCTACTCCCTATGCCTGAACATTCGCCCACACACGAAATCACTGGCGAGCTTTGCAGCGTTCAAGGTTCGGGGGCCATTTAAGCAGGCTGTGCAGGGGGGTAGGTATCTGCTCTGACTTGCTGAATCTGCAGCTCTACCTACTCCAGCACCAGAATCTAGTCAAGTTTTGTCCTTGGTTCGCTTGATTTGCAAGGTGCATTCGGTTGCGATACCATAAAGCTCAAGCTGGGCCGGCGATGAACAGCTGGCTAAGGACGGGAGCAAACTTCGGGCAAACCGATTGCTTTCCCAGGTATATAGTTGGAAACCCATGAACGCTGAAGCAGGGCCTTCAAACCCCACTTGTCAGGACTGAAACCTGAACCAACAATCACGGAATAATCAAGACAACCTGAAACCCGTACCTTAAACTGGATGCTTCAATCACAAACAAAAGCAGCACTCTTCGCAGCGAGATCATCCGCAGCAAAGCATCAATGGCCACCGATGGCGTGACAGCTACTGGTGGATCGCCCTTAGACGCTTTGGGATTTAGCGGAAGGGGTTTAGGGAGCAGGGTTTCGGGCGAAAACTTGGAGGTCAGTACAGGGGGACACAGTAGTCGGCGCCTAATTTCGTAACTGCTAAGCTTTAATCTCCATAGCCACTCTGTGGCAGACACCGATAAGACTGCCAGAAAGCATGGGGCGACTTTTGAAGTCAGCAAGCAGGTTGAAGCAAGTTAAGACTCGAGGACCCTTCTAGTATAGCCCGTCTACGTCTCCGGAGCTCCCCAAGTGGTGTCACAAACCTAAAGGGCTGGCAATATCAATCGGCCTGGTTTTGGAATATCGAAGTAAGGGAGAGAAGCAGATGCAGGTCCAAAACGGAATTAAACTCGTGGTGTTAGACTGCTTCGAAATCCCAAAAGACGAAAGTTCTTTCGTTTGCCGGGTGAGTCTCTGTTGCTTTGAGCTTCGGGGGGAGACTCCGGCAAACCCTCCATCCTAACTACGGTTTACACTTACGTTTGAAGTCTATGGCCCTAAGAGGTTTATTACATAAACTGCTCATTATCTCATTATCATTCTTCTTATTTATTCTCCGGGTGCTAAAGAGAATCACTGTTCTTGAGATTCGATTTGCCCCCAACCCCCACCCCCCCTTTGCCCCCTTCAGAAGAAGTCTGCGCCCTCTCGGCCTCGTGGGTGTTGATCTGGAGGAGGCTCTCCCAGCTGACGTTCCCGAAGTTTGGATGAGGCTTGCCTTAAGCTGAGGATAGCTGGTGTGCGGACGGACTGCCTCAGAATGTCATGGATTTTCAAAAGTGGTTTTATGATTTTGGACGGTACTGATACTGGAATCCTTGCTTCACCTGAGGCACGAGGTGTGGAGAATTCGTGCCGTCTTGTTCTCAGGACAAGGTGCTCCGGACCTGCAACATTCCTGGTACACTTCGCCCCGATTTCGAAGGAACATGGAGTGGAGGGATCACTGCTACTACTGAAGGAACCTTGCACATGACGTGAAAACACCCCAGCTAAACCTGGTAGTGCTAAGCCTGAGTTGTAACTCCAAACGGAAAATCTCCACCGCCCTCCCCCCAGCAACAGCCTCAGACAAAAGTTCTAAATCTTAACCCCCAAGCACTAAATCCTACACCTAAGCACGCCCTAAAGCCTCAATCCCAAGCCAAAGGCCCGAGAAGACAAGGCCAAGGCACCCCAGATGTCGTATTGAAGGCCCAGCTCTTCCCAGTCGCTGCTGCCGGCGATGGCGGATGTCACTGGATCCCATGCCTTGGATCGAATTCGCTTGGCTTCGGGCTTACGGCTTAAGTTTGGGCTTGTAGGCTTTCGGGATTATGAGATTTTAGGGCTTGCGATTAGGGTTTAGGTCGAGGGTCTATGTCTATAACCAATAGGTTTAAGTCTTGAAGGGAGCCCTTTCTTCGTGTAGGCTTGAAGGTTTCGGTTTGGGCTTTCGGCTTTAGAGGGGAGGAGGGCTCCGCAGGATTCCTTGGTCTGGCAAAACCACAGGATACTTGAACTTGGGTTTATAGCCTCATGGGATGTAGGGAGTGTAGGGTTTAGGGGAAAAAATGCCCGCCATGAGGTAGAAGACCAGTGTCTATCTGGGGCGTGTACCATTACAATTAGCCAGGTGTTCGTGTAAACTTGGAACGCCACTCATGTCAGTATCAAATTAAGCAGCGGAGGTCTGATGCTTTGCTTCAGTGGTACAATACGTGTTACAACAACAACCGGAATGATGCTGCTGATGATGATGGTGATGAGGCAGTGATAAATGCAAAAAAGCAGAACACATGTTGGGAAAATGCACACTGGGATAGACTGAACGCCGACAGATTGTTCCTGAAACCTGAACCCCGGTACGTAAGGACCTGATGCTCGCGGCCCTAAACCCTACAACCTAGAACCNNCCCCCCCCCAAAAAAAAAAAAAAGGGCTGTTGGCCCGGGCCACCAGCTGCACAATGCCAGCCGTGATGTCCACGTTAGGATCTCGGACGAGCCCGCTCACGGTTCCTGTGATCGGTCGGGTTGGGGCTGCTGTTTAGGGCCTTCGGGATGATTCACACGGATGAAGGGTCAGAACCTCACACCTCGACAGTTCAATGCCCAACGGCTGCTTTCGCCAAATACAGGGGCCTTAAGCATTGTGAATAAGGCTTCGGGGTATATCATACTACGCGTATGTATATAGGAATTCCACGCAGCAGTATAAGTAGTTCTTCAAGCTTCAAGACCCGTTGAACTCAATGCAAGTGCAATGATATTAGATACAAATAATGTTAGCGTTTTCATTTCTATCCTTATATTGTTCTTATTATTATTGTTGCTGCGATTACGTTTTACCATTATCATCTTAATTACTCCTATTGCTTTTATTGGTATTACATTACCACTTTAAAGGTTTCTGACATCTGGCGGAGAGTCCCGGCCGAGGAATGCAGTAGGCTGTGGGCGACCAGTCCGACCACGCTGACACCCCGAGCTCCTTTGGAGTTTAGTGGGACGCGTAGCGTTGGAGGGCGCATAACATCGGAGTTGGCTTTAGGAACCCTAACCCCTAAACCCTAAACCCTATTTGGTTCAGGGTTTAGGAAGCAAGATCCATGTGTAGGATTTGGGTTCAGGTTTGTGACAGGTTCAAGCAGGGGTTGTGACTCTGGGCTTGTGGGATTTCCAAGACTTGTGGGGCCGAGGCCTTGGGGGTTTGGGGTCGAGGTTCGAAATGTCCAGGGCTGCCGGCAACTTGAGAAAGCATGCGTCTGCAAGTACTATGCGCTATTGAAGTTTGAAGCCCTTCCGCTTCTAGGTTTTTGGCTGCTTGCCGGTGGGAAGTGCATGACTACACCAAGGATCCCACAGTCTCGCATACATGTAGATCCCTTATTTCTGAAATTTGCCGCAGCACGTTCTCGGCGCGGATCGCCGCACGGAAGTGCCTGCCCATGCAACTTCAGTTGCTTCGGAACTATGGTCGTGGCTCTGCAAACAATTAAAACAAGCTATGTTGTGGTTTTGCAGGGACTACCGAAGAACCATTATTAGAGAGTGACTAGACATACAACCACCTCGACGAAAGCCCCTTCTGCATTCGCTGCGATTTGCCGCCCTCCGCACAACACAGGCAAGGAACCATTAACACGTCCGACTAAGGATGTGCCTTGCCAAGAGCTTAGAGTCCTTCTGTTTCGTGGGCCAAAATCCTAAGCCCGAGATCTAACATTCCAAAGCCTTCTGCATTTCTGCAACAAAAGTCCTGAACCATGAGTTGCTCTTTTGCAGCCGCCAGCGCCAAAAAATCCCCCCCCCCCGGACAAAACTCTCCTTGAACCCCTCGAGAACCCTTGAGGCTCTTTATTGCAGAAGAGAGCCCTCTCTCTCCTAAACCCTAAACCCTAAATCCTACTCTCTCTGCTTCTGGTTCCTCGTTGGGGATACATTAAAAATGATCATTTTTTTAATCCTTATTGGGTTTTATTATAACAAAAATGCAAAATTGTAGCCAACAAGGACCCAGTGCTTCCATCAGCTTCTAAACCCCTAAACCTAAACCCTAAACCCCCAAAACCCTAAACCCCTCAGCCGAAAAAAAAGAAAGGGGGCGGAAGAGAACAGGGGCCTCCCGTAGACCAGCTCGGGCCAGGAGTCCGAGTCCACGGAGAGCTGCAGGCCGAGGCGCGGCTCGTCGAAGGAGCCGTTCAGGATCCACACCTCCTCGACCTCACTTAGGGCTTTTTGGGGCTTTGGGGGTTTAGGGGTTTGGGGAGTTTGGGGAGTTTGGGGGTTTAGGGGAGTTTGGGGTTTTAGGGTTTTGGGAAGTTTAGGGGTTTAGGGTGTAGGGTTTAGGGTCATAACATCGTATTAACAATCATGGCTAGTACATGTAATGATAATGGTAATAGTGGGCATACTGGCCATAGTGGTTATATCATATCGTAATGAATAATGACAATAAAGTGATGGAAACACTGATAACCAAGAAGTGCAACACAGGAACCACAGCTGCATCCAAGAGCTTGAGTGTCTCCCAGGGTAGGGAGGGGCCTCTCCGAGGACTTGGGGGCTCAGCGAGTCTTATGAGAGTGTTTAAGAGACCCTAAACCCTATAAACCCTGCTGCAAGTTTAGAAGTCGCCGGGGGAGGGAGGGGTTTCAGACCTGCCAAGAGATGAATGCTTAAAAGAAAAAGCCCTTCTGGAAGGGAGCTGGGGAGAAGACACAGGGCAACCATACGCAGGAGCCCACAAGTTGGACTTAAGATTAGGACTTTTAGGGTTTATAACGGTTTAGGGTTTGGGGTTTAGGGATAAGGGTTCAGGGTTTAGGGTTTAGACAAGCCATGCCGCAAGCAAAGAAGTCTCGTTGTCTGATGCTTCGAGCTTGAACTCGTAGCTGTGCACCAGCCTTCCATTCCTCAGTAGAATCAGGCTTTAGGGTTTACGGGTTTAGGGTTTATAGGGGTTTGGGCTTTAGGGGTTTAGGGGTTTAGGGTTTAGGGTTTAGGGTGATCTTGAGGTCTTGTACTCCCTAGCCATAACAGCAAGAACCGAAAGTCTAGGGATCAGGGCACCCGAAGTGCAGCGTTCGATACTGCCCTCAGAAAGTCTCCCTCAACGAGAAATGACTTGCGAGGGATTATTGGGGTCTTGAAGGATTCGAACGTAGGAGTTTTGGTCGTGCAGTCAATAAACTCTGCCGCGGGATACCAGCGCCAGTTGAGGCTGCAATTGTCGGCGTCTTCCAGCCATGGCGGCTGCACGGTCGGCACGGTGCCAACAGAGATCTCTGCAATGTCGCTGAGAGGCCCGGCACCAAACCTGGTTCATAGGATTTCATAGGTCATAGGTGCAGCAGATTTTTAAGACTGTGACACCCCCGCCCCTGTCAAGGGCTGCATCACAGACTCCCGAGTCACTCAATCCAGCGTCCCTTCTTCGAGAACTTTGTTGTATCTGCCTGTTCGAGCCCGAAGCAACTTGTACTGGAAGCCCTTGTATGCCTCCCTAAACCCCAAGGCTGCAAAACAAATGAAGAAGAAGCCAGGTTCCAAGAAATCCCGCCCTGCTTCGCTATAACCCCGAGTTGGCGAAGCGGACCCTTGACGTCTGTCAAGACCTGCAGGAGCTCTGGGGAATTGATACAGCCCCTTATATAAGCTGGGGAGCGCATAAGAGCTTGGGACTGGAGGTTAGGGCCTGGACCTTCTCCGTTGCTCAGGAAGTAGAAGCATTTTTGCGATGCGAAGTGTTTGGGTAAAGCTACCAGTGGATCTTGGAGGGCCCAACCAGAAGCAGGTTGTGGTGTTTGGTTGAAGCATGCAGGGGTCCAACACTCGTCCGGGCAGCTGATTCAAGGCTCGCACTTGGAAGCGGTAGAGCGTGTCCGGCGTCAGGGCCGACACCGAACAGCCAGTAGCATCGGGCACCAGCGAGACGCTTACGAGATCCTTGCGTCAAAAAAAGGCGTGGAGAACTCAAAGGTGCTCGAGTGAGATGTGTGTGCTTCACCTATCTCGACTGCTTCATGCGGGCTCCGGAATTATCGAGAAGCACGTCAGGTTCGGACCATGCCCAAGAGACCGCAAGAATCGCTGCTAAATGCAATCAGCCGTCGCATGTGTTGTTGACACAATTCGTGGTGGCGGTGCAAGACGAGTCGGGCTCCGTGCGCATCCTGGTTCCTGGGCCGTCGTCCCTGTACCTCGGTCCGTCGGTGCTGGGACGTATAATTCCCTTATCAATCGACGTCCTCCCTGAATAGGACTCGCTGTGGGTCCCGCTGTTCTGAGGCTGTTCTGTTCTTTGAAGGCGGGGTCACTGTCGTGGGCATGGGCAGCGTGATTCACAATGTCACAGACTGGCCTTCTAACGAGTAATGGCAACAAGAAGCTGGAAGAGGCCAAGACTTCACAGAACACTCACCACCATCTTAATGGTCCCAGCTTCGGTATGGCTGCAGACCAGGATGGAAAGCCGGCGTGACCCGCAGCAAGAAGCTACACACAGAAACGTCTGAATTTCAGACTAAGGTTTTACTTTACAAGGTTTTGGCAATTTCTATACTGCTATAAATAACAATGAGGAGGTCGATGGAAGAGTACTACTAAATATTCAGACCCGGAGGCAACCCCTAAACCTGGACATTAAAACCCCATCATGGAACCTTACAGTAAACCCGCCTACACCTCAGCGCCCCCCCCCCCCCCCCC